GGATGACTTTGTGTTGTATGTTTTGCAAGTTTTCTGTAGAAGTGATGCGCGCATTAGTTTGTACGATTTGCAAGTCTTGTCATTGCATAAAGAATGATCTGGGCGTTGGTTTTGAACGAGCGCATTGCCCATTAGCACATGATAGTGTTCTGCCTCATGATGGTCGCGATGTTATGGGCTAATGAATAGCTGACCCCAGATGTGACCTGACGAGGCTCACCGCGCGTGACCTATGCCAAGGTTGTAGATATGAGTAGAGTTCATTTACTAACCACTTCACAATTTTAAGACAGCTGGGCAAGACGCTACGATGTACGCGGTACCAAGACTGCTTCACAGAGCTTAGAGTTTCAACGGCATCTCCATACAGACCTTCGAGAACGAGATCACATCTTATTGATTTGATATGGTAAGAGCTTGAAAGCTCACCTTCGAGTGCATCTAAGAAGATTCTTAAGTCATCTAGCCCAAATTTTGGCATAATCTGCCCGACTATTTGAGCGATGCCAACCTCCGGAAAAAAACACGAAGGGGTTGCAATAACCGGCGATGGCGATCCTGGTGAGCGTTAAGGTCAATATTGGTTGATAAGTCGACAAGCTCCGGTGGCAAAGTGAACACGTGTAAGGCACAGCGTTCCACCAATGAGTTGATAATGCCGGTCAAATAGAAAAAAGCAATTGTCACAATTTGACTAGTCGCGTTTGTTCATTCGTCATTCCGGGACAAGGAAACCGTCCCGAGAGAGAAATAATGTTGTTAAAAGAACATTTACCGGCGAAATGTGGGACCTGAATCTGGTCTGGACTCTAAATTTACCGGAGCCTAGACCTCTTAATGCGTCTTTCGTCGAATTGGCGTCATTCGCCGCGCTCAGCACTTGACTGACGTGAGTGACGTTACATCATGTCAGCCACGCCATGACGTCATGACAGGGCGGTGATCGGTTCTTTGAACTTATCGTCCGGCCTTTCCGTTGTGGAACAAATCAGCACTAGATATTCCCGATGTCATTTCGGCTAAACTGGCGCATGATTGTCATGCAGGTCGATGGTCCAAGTCAAAGCGCAAGCGCAACTAAAACTGCGGACAGCAATCTACAGCCATGCTTAAGTAACAGAAGCGGTTTATTCGACGAAGAGGCACGGGGAAGGGGCACTCGCACCCTTACCACATTTTTAAAGACATAAATATGCATATCAGTAATAGTAGGCAGCTTAAGTATCTGCGTAGCATTTTAGAGTTAGTGGAGTTAAAGCGTGCATACTTATATATAAATTATTCCGAAGCTTCGCGCGCCTGCGGCACGATATTGCTAAAAAAAAATTCAATGTCCGTCACGATCGCAAAATCCCGCGAGCACGCCTGCAAAACAGAATGATTTTGCATGACCGTGGAAGGAACCAGAGACATTCCTAATATACATTGATCGCATGTACCTAGGCGAGACAACGACCAGAATGGTTTCGGTAACATGCAGGCACGCAGTAACATGCAGGCACAGAGAAGGGGTTTCCTGAAATCCTGAAATTGAGATCCTGTGTTATATCTGTGAGATGGCTCACACCGGCTGAACAAGCACCGGGAAACTTCCTTCAGGCTGTTTGATATCTTCTCCAGCTTTAGTTGGCCAGCTGGCGCACCAAAGCTGGAGAAGGTGAAAAGTAAAATAATTCTATCCGAGGTTCGTTACCGAGCAGCACGAACCCATTCGCGTGTTGATGTGAGGGAACAAAGCTCATCCCGAGTCTGGTCATGTTACCAAAGTTAGCTATTTCTGTCATTGCTGCTCTGGCGGGCAAATTGCGCACAGGGAACGGCCTCTTTTTGAGAGCGCTAAAAGCTTCCTAACTGCAAGACGAGGCCGCGGACGGGGCGCAGCGTCACCCTATGATACAACAGCTGACGGAGGGCTGAGCGCCGGTACGTCATCGACACCATTACCCACAGTGTGTTCCACACCTGTGTGAGATCCTCAGCTCAATAGAGATATCCATTTTGAAGATCACTCTGCGCAGTTCACAACCCTGCCCTGCCTAGACTTAGCACGCTCTGGGTTCTGAGCTTGACGCCCACGAACATGTGCAGACTTTGCGCAGACTATTTCGAGGTCACCCAGCCATGCATGATGTCATAGAAACGTCGCGCGAATGCTGCCACCTCATTGGCTATATGGAGCTCAAGGCCGCAAACTATTTGAATACTTGTGTTTAACGTACGTCAACATCATGTTTGGCATCAGCGAAGTTCGGTTAGCCTCATTCAATATTTCAATTTGATGCGTTTCATGCAAGGTTCAAACACGAATCACGTTTTGTGGTAGATAGTGTGGGACCTTGGACAGTGGTACGAGTTATGACGGAAATGAGACCGGGAATTAAATAACTGAAGAGCATCGCCATACCGAACATATGAATGCAGGCCATCAATATCAAATCACGGAGAAATACACAAGGACACCATGAGAAGGGGCCAAAACACGCGCACGTAACAATTTTTGGCTTCTGCAAATAGCGCACCAGCCAGCATGGCAGTAAGTTGAAGCACTAAAGGTGAGTCAGCTCGTGCGCAGCAGTGATAATGCTGACACGGCCAGCCTGGCAGCGGCCGACGTCGCGATGACATTCCATGACGAAATCAAACGATGACGCATGGAGGAGCGTAGTCACCGAATAGTGAAAATTTGTGGCCCAAAGCAACGAATAATACTTAAAAGCAGACAAGTACTTACAAGTGAGCTTATCTCGTCACACGTGACGCTTGCCTCAATAGTTAAGGCACCGGTCTGGGAGATAGCGACGTTAACGGGCAGCGCTGTTACACGCGCTATAAAACAATCAGCTGATTGCTGCCAGCCGCGAGGCGGGAGGCTCCAATCTACTGCGACAGCAGGGCAGGCAGCCCGGTCCCACGGGTCGTTGCGGCGTGGGCACGCGTTCTCCACGGTTGGGGTCCGCAGACGGGTACGGCTCCCCAGCTCCACCCACGAGGTGAGCAGTCTAACCCCGGCCCAGCCGCGCACCCGTGCCGTTATCGCCCTCACCGCCTTCCGCGGTCCGGCCCCTCAGCTCCTCACCCCCACAACGCGTGCTGTTTGAACTCTGCGGGGAGGGGGGGGGGGGGGGGGGGAGCGGTGCGCACGGCGACGGAGGCAGCAGCGTGCGGGATCGCACGGAGCCGCCGCAGCGAGCTGGCTCGCCGACGCTGGGGATCTGATCGCAGGCGGGCTGTGAATACCGTGTCCGCCTTCAGCCCCCGCACGGACTGGGC